TAAACCACACCGTCAGCATCTCTCTCCCAGCATTCCCTTTGATGAAAGTTTTCCCTATATAGGATGGCTTCCTTTGCCGGCCTTCTGTGGTTCTCATTTGAAGAACCTAAATTGTCAACACAGCTGCCATGGTCCAGCCCGCTCCTGGGCCTTGAGCTCTGGCTAGCTCCTCTTTCTTCTTCCCTGCATTCCAGCCACACTGGCCTTTCCACAACTCCTTAGCAGTGCCACACTCCCTCATCCCATGTGACCTTGGCAGTACTCCTCCCTCCATCTGCAACACTCAGCCCTCACCCAGTGGACCCTTGCCAGTCCCCCACATCTCAACCCAGGCATCACGAACTCACCAAAGCTTTTCCAGACCCCCTGACTGGGTCGGGTAGTGCATTTGCTTTCCTGAGACACTCAGGAAAAGTACTTGCATGATTGAGGTCTGTGTCCCTATCTGGCCTCCGGCTTTCCTGAAGGTAGGGGCCATCCATTGCAGGCTCTGTTGTACCCCAGTGTTCGACATGCTCCCTGGCACACAGGTGGCCTCCCACAGGGGAGTGGGTTGGACCTGACGTGGGCACGAACGACCCTCAAGTATCCCCTCTCCCAGTCCCCGCTCTCTCTTTTTCCTCTTCCTGCCTCTTTGTTTCTTTACTTTCCCTTCCTTCCTCCCTCCTGATCCTTGCTATTCATTCCTTCTTCCTTCCTGGGACTCCCATGAACAGCATTGAAGCCAACAGAAGAACAGTCACGAGTTAAAGAAAAGAGAACGTTGTCATAGCTTGGGATAATGGGTTGGCCTCCAACTAGATCACCCCAGACTCAGGGCCTGCGGGGGGGATGTAGGACTCTGGTTCCCCCGGTAGTAGTCGGCTAGGCTCCCGCGGGAAGTACCACAGACCATGTCTCAAACAACAGAAGTGTATCGCCTCGCAGCCCTGGGGGCCTGAAGTCCAAAACCACGGTATCGGCAGGGCCGGTTCCTTCTGAGAGTGGTGGGGGAAAGAGTTGTCCTGAGAGTGGTGGGGGAAAGAGCTGTCCCAGGCCTCTCTCCATCTTGTAGATGGCTGCCAGCTCCTTCCAGGGCTGTGAGGGAGGGATCTATTCCAGGCTCTGTCCATGACCTGGAGATGGCCCTCTTTTCCCTGTGGCTTCATCTCTTCGTCATCCCTCTAGAGGTGTCTCTGTGTCCCAATTTCCCCATTTTATAAGGACGCCAGCCATTCTGGATTAGGGCCCACCCTAATGACATCATTTAGATTTGATTTCCTCTGTAAAGGCGTCTCCAAATAAGGTCACATTCTGATATTCTGGGGGTTAGGACTTCAACGTGCGAATTTAAGGAGAGGACATAGTTCAACTTGTAACACCTGCCTTCCACCTGTCCATTGCCCCAACCCTTTTTGATTTATTGAAGGAGAAAAAAGTAGGGAAGCACAGGGACACATCGTCTTCTGAGGAAGGTATGTGGGAGCTGGGGAATGGAAGCAGACAAGAGGGGAGTGTGAACCAGAGAAAGACACCCAAGAGTGAGAAGGGAAAGGCTGACCTGACAAGCAGCTAAAACCCCAGTTGTCGCCTGGCCAAGAGGTTACATGCCACTGCTCTGGTAATCAGCATTCACACCCCAGATTAGCCGCTCACCAGCAGTGGGGCCTTTCCCTTCCCTTGTAACAGGTGGATAATGACCGCACCCGACCAATGGGATGGCTCTGAAGACTGAGTGAGGGACAAGCATGAAGGGCTTGCTGCTGTGCTGGGCACATAATAACTCAGGGTGCAGCAGGTGTGGTGTGTGGTCCACCTCACTGCCAGTTGGGGGGGGGGTGAGTCCCAGGAAAATGGCCATTCCGGAAGAAGGTGAGGACAAGGAAGAAGCTGGTGGTCACTGAGGCCAAATGACTCTGTGTTCTTGTTCACAATAATGAAGAGAAAAGAACCAGAGTCATGGTCAGACTTCAGATGTGGCCTATGGACCAAAGTCAGAATCACCTGGGCCCCACCCAGGAAATGCAGAATCTGGGGCCCTCGGGAACCTGGCTAAATCAGGACTTCTGTGTGCAGGATCTTTACCTGATTTTTAAAACAAGCTCCCCTATGATTCTTATGCATGTGAAAGTTTGCAAACCACAGATCCTGAAGAGACAGAGATGAGTCTTGGCCGAAGGACCACCCACATCTGCACAGCCCTGGAGCAAGACAGGCATGCTCCTCACACCTGCCGCCATCGCTAGCATTCCTTGGACAGAGTCAGAGAGGTGGTGTTGAGCAACTGTGTGTAAAGCCAGGCAGAGTACCTGGCACACAGTAAGGGCTCAGGAAACACTAGCAACCAACACAGAAGCCCTTCGATTTCTGAATGCTCTGAGATGAAAGCAAAACCCATGCCAGAGCCAAAGCACCTCCACGCTGCCCCAAAGGTGGCCATAGTGGTCACTCATAGAGTCTCACTTTGGACTTTGGAACAAATGGACTTGTGGACAGCCTTTTCAGACCCACCTTTCAGTAATAACAATGGCAGATACTCACATAGTACTCACTATAAGCCAGGCACTGTGCCAAGAGCATGACTCATTTGATCCTTTCACCAAGAAGGATGGTAGGTTATTACCCCATTTTACAGCTGATGAAACTGAGGCACAAGGCCATGGGACTAATAAATGGCACAGTCTGAACTCGAACTCCAGGGAGCTCAGCTGCAGAATCTATGCACTTGGTCACTATGTTAGGCTGCCTCTCTTAAGTAGTGATATTTAGGAATCAGACAATTACTGTTCCCTTCCTTCTTCTTCTCTCCCTCTAGGCCACTGGTCCAGATGCTTGTCCTTGTCCGCATACCTTGGACTCTGCCTCCCAGCTGCGTTGGATGTCCTGTCAGCCCAGGCCCATTCTCTGTGACCTGCATACCCAGGTAGGTGCCCTCCCTCCTCTGTGGTTGAGTGGGCTTGATCCAGCGGTACCTTGAGGTGGGACACCTGGGCAGTACCCAATGAACATTTGCTGATTAGCGGATCCTTTTTTAAGGAAAAAAACTCATTTGCCTGGAATTTGTGTCATGTGTAGGTGTTAGATTTACCTAAAACAGAGTATGTCTGTGGCACCAATGACTGTAGATTATTTTTCTAGTAGCTTAAATCAAGGAGTATTGCACTAGCCAAGCAACAGCTATTTGATCAAGTGGAAGGGGCGTGCCTTCCGGTCCGCACCATCCCTGATTCCTAGAAGCTGGTACAGCAGGCCTGGTAGCACCATGATCTTCCATAGTTGACGCAGCGGCCGCAGAATGCATGTCAGCAGAGTCAGTGAGCACACCCCCTGTCCTGGGATTAGGCATCCCTTCACTAAGGGTAGAGGAGTATATGATGTCCCTCTACCGTCACCACTGCAAATACAGTCATCATGGTTGATGCTCTTGGCCTGTGACGTCACACCACCAAACGAAGCAGATAGTGCCTCCTTAAATCCTTTTTGCAACCAGGCAAAAGCCATATATGTATGTCTGCACACCAGATTTGGGAGGCAGTTTACAAGAAACTCCGTGTTTCCTGCCTTAATTTTTTGTGCATTAACTTCGCTCTTGATTAAGTACCTCACTTGCCAGTTCATTTACTCATACTAAAAAAGGCAGGGTCAACAGAAGAAAGTCTCCAGCGTGCGCCAGCCGCCCTCGGCAGCAAGTTGATGATCTTGCCTTCAGATATACAACTCAAAAGGGGACTTTCCTCAGAAGCCCTCAATGACCAACACAAGGAAAACAAAGGAAAAGGGAATTTGTGACTGTGAATCACAGTCTCCACCAAAATCTACACTCATTCACCCAGACAGCGCCTCACTGGACACCACTTTGCAATGCTAGGCTCATTTCTTTTCAACCCTCTGCCCCCCTCAGGCTGGCTCAGCCCCACGCAGTGCCCGGCTCGTCCTCTACCAGATGCTTGCATCTCCCACTGGTGTTCGCAGAGCTAAGTCATAAACAATCACATCCCTGTAGGGAATGAAAGGGAAAGTGCCCAAGCAGAAAAGAATGCAGAAAAGTGGGGGTGGATTGAAACAGCTGGAGAAAGCACAGAGTATTTACATTCTGCCGAGTCACGGAGGGAGCTCTTGGACCCGAGTGCCCAGATGAGGTGGGTTCCTCTGGGGTCTCTGAAAAATGGGTACTTGATTGAATGCCTGAATTCTACCCCAGACCTGGATGTCTGAATTTGTCAAGTGCTCCTCTCTAGAAGCCTTGAATACTTCGGGCATGTAATCGTGACGTGGGTGTGGCTAGCCATTCACGCACCTTCTCCGCGGTGCCTGTCTGCAAGGGTACGGAGAGGAGGATGTGATTTTCCGAGAAGATCAGAAGGAAGGTAAGGAATAATCCAGGTGGCTGGGAGGGCCGTCAGAATACCAGCCTATCTTCTCGCATTCTGCTAATCCTATATTTCAGCCTGACTTTCATACCAAAATGCTGATAAAATCTCAGGTGCCCACCCAGTGAACAGACTTCCTGAGGCAGCTGAACGTCCAGGCTCCCCAAGACGGTGAGTGTGCCAGCCAGACTCACTAAAGCCACACAGACTTTTGGCTTCTGCCGAACCAAAAGGGCCACATCCAGCACTTTAGTAAATGAGAACATTCTGCCCCCTCCAGTCCTCACCAGCCTGGCAGTGCAGGGAGGAAGGTGCTGGGCAGCATGATACATGATTACTTTTACAGTCTCTAAACTCTAGGTGCTGTTTTTACCTGCCTGTGCCATCAGCAAGCCCTTCCCCCAGAGCAGTCTGCAGCATGGTTCAAACCCAGCCAGAGGGGAGCTTCTGGGTACCCTTGCAGGACAGCTGGTTCCAGTGGGATCTGCTTCAAACATCCTACTGCCTTAACTTTTCCCAAGTTTTTTTCCATCTCCACGTCATTGTTGTCCTTGCACTGGGACACCCGCGCGCACGCACACACATACACACCCCCTCAGCTCTGCATATAAGCTGCTCTTTGTTCCCTAGAACAAATACTCAGATTCTTACCTGAAAAACTTGCAGGCTGAGGACTGTGCCTCTTTGTCCAAGGGGAAAGGGAATCGGCCGGGTGTCGTCCGCTCTGTGTCGCGGTCACTGTGCTGCCGCTGCTTCCCCAGCAGCCCCACGCCGGCTCTCTGGACTTCTCGGTTGCTGCAGCTCTGTGTGGGGAGAGGGGACGGGCCGTGGCATGCACATCAGGTTGCTGGTCCGCCTCCAGACACCATGCCACAGAGCCGGCTACCAGTCCCGCGGGGCTGTGTGGGAAGCAGAGAGGCAGGCTGGGAGGCCGAGAATGTCAGCCTCTGGGTCTCTAGCTGGCCTTGTTGGTCAGCAAAGGGGACCTGCCTTTAGACAACAGCCCACGCGGACCCCACCCACAGGGACATACACAAAGCTCTGCGTGCCCCCAGCTCTGACTCCAGCTGCAGGCCTAGGAATGCAGAGCTATTGGGCGGCCGGGAAGGGAGGCAGAGACAGCGGCAGCAACTGTCCTGGGTGTTATTTTAGCGTGGTTTGTCTTGGGGCAAACGGCTGAGCCGAATGGACTACTGGCCTGTCTGAGCAGAATCCTGTTTATTTGGAAGTCTCAGTCGCCAGGGAAACAGCAGGTCGTGGCTCAGAGACGCCCCTCTGGAATCAGAAGGCTGCTGGATGAAAGAGTCCTTTTCTGTTCTGTCATCTGGCATCTCTACACAGGGTGTTGGTGTCTGTGTGTAGCAGAGTGTGTGTGTGTGTCTGTGCCATTCCTAGAGCCACGCCTTGCAAAGGGCATGTTGCAAAGCCACTCGAGGCAATGGCCATCCAGGCTAGGGCTGGAAGGGGCTGCAGAGCAAGCGTTTCTGTCATTCTTTACCCGTGGTCGAGCCTGTCACTGCTGAGCTAGGCGAACAAATCCTCAGGTGAGCCCAGCTCCAGGGGCGGGGATTTCGTTTAAGGACCTTGGGCATCATCTTCATGCCACTGGCCAGGACAGAGTGAGGGAAGGGAGGAAGCTACCTGGCTAGAAGGTAGGGAGTGAAGCTGGAAATTGGATTAAGAAGATACAGATCAGGAGGTATCTTTGAAGAGACTAAATGGAAACATGATTAATAGTTTCCTATGATGGATGAAAGTCCCTCCTCCTTAGGTAGGCATTTGAGCCTGGGAGGGGTGAGTGTGTGTGTGTGTGTGTGTGTGTGTGTGTGTCTAAGCCTACCCACCTGATGATTCAGATAGACAGGTACAGGTGGACCTGTGAGAACTAGAAATAGGCTCTCTGTTCTCCACTTCCCCTTGGAAGGTGGAGGTGGAAGCCTGGTCTCCAAACGCAGCAGGTAGCTTCTGATGTGTTCTGAAGGTAGCATCCATGGAGCCATATTTGTGCCTTCTGAGGGGATGAGTCTCAGAGAAGCTCATCCTCTGGGACAGAGACCTAGAAGCACACACATCACTTAACTCTAATAATGGGTGAGCCGCAGCGCTCCTGAAAGGGACTTAAAAAGTACAGAAAAAGTCGTTTTCACCAAATTTTATTACCTGGAACCTCCATGAACTGCCATGTGCACATATTCAAAGGCACTCATAATTGGCTTTAAAAAATAATAATCTTCCTGAGGATCTGAACATTGCCAAAGGGCATTCTGAAGCACAGAGAGATAACAATATTGCAGACAATCATCTTCTCAGTATTGGAGAAGTATTGTGCTACATCCAGTGTGCATGTTAACTTTCCAGTACATGGAATGATGGATTTTAAAGTTAAAGAACACTCAATTAGGAAATTAAGCCCATTAAATAGCAGACCAAAAATTCTGAGGACAGAGATGCAGCTCAGAGTCTTACCCAGGCTGTACCCCTAATTAAAGCCCTCGCTGTGACTAAAAACAGGTGTCCCTAGCTCAGGGTCATGCCCTTGAACCTGCCCACATGGTGTGGTTGGCCCTTCCTGGGCAGCTCAGCTCCTCGGGGCTCCCTGGTCTCTCCTTCCTAAAGGAGATGAATGAGACTCTGCTACCTGCATCTTCCCTGCAAGCCGACAGCCGTATTGTGATGATCCAGTGTGCCAAAGTGTGTGAGAGCACCTTGAAAACAGGTAACACACGTGTAAGTCACTCCATGACATCCAGTTGTGAAATGATGTTAAAAAAAAAACAAACCTACACAGCTTTTAGACAAAATAATCCCTAGCTACTGATATAAACTAATTTCTTTACTGCATATCTGGTATTCAGCAATGTTACTGTCCAAATAATGGGAATTAATGAATCCTCAGTTCCTTAAAGTATTTACTATAATAGAATTCCCCTCAATATTGAATTTTCAAAAATGTCACCTTAACATCCCACAAATTTCACATTTACTTCAACTTTCATGTCAAGCATCTCATTTTATCTTTTAAATAACACACATTTGGATGTTCTGACTCAGGAGACATGATCATGTTAATGCTTTCTGGCCTGTTATTTAGCACGGGAAGAGACCTGGGGGTTGCCTCGCCTGAAAGTCTGGCCTCAGAATGGCCTTCCAGCTCTGGGCCAGGAAATAGTCCATGCAAATAATAGGTGGTGGGGCTGCTCATTAAGCATCCACAAGACACCAGATCCTCTACAGACCATGTAACAAAACCCGTCTCTTCCCTCAAAGCTCCTAGACTACTTTTAAAAGTAGTCTAATTTCTGCGGTGGTTACAACCTGTAGAGGTTGGGTCTGGGAGAAGAAGAACATGACAATTTGCAGGACCCACAGAAACCCTAGGAGAAGCCTGGTAGGTTTATCCGCAGAGGTGTGGCTGTGGCCAGAGTCATCCACACCTAAAATGTTGTGGCTGGTTCCGGAGGTGAGATTTTTCCTTCTGCATCCTAAGAGATTGACTCACAGTGGAGCCCTTGAGCGGTTGCTCGTAGAGAAAGTGGCTCTAAACCTCTTCTAGGAGGCGTAGCAGGGTGATAAAGGTAGAATGCAGCATTGCTGTGCTTTTACTTATTCTGTGCTCGGTGCCTCTGAAAATCAGGCGTCCCTGGTTAATTTCACCAACATGACAGCAGAACCAGAGCATGACAGAATCGGCAGAATTCAAAATGCCCCCCAATAAATATTCTTCCTTTCCAGGCATAACCTACAAGCAATGGCTTCTTTTGCCTTGAATCTTGAGGCCGATAATCAATATTTGCTTTAAAACTTCCCCTTCGTTTGTCCTGTTTACATAAATGATGCAGTTATTTGAAATACACCAGACACACTGCATTTTCTTTCTAATTTCATTTGACCTTGTTGGGACACGACAAATCCTAATCAGCTGACAGGAGAAATCAGATGCTGCATTATACTCTCTCTCCTGGCAAAGTATTTCCTTCTGTTTATGCCAAATCATGCAATTAAATGAAGGGCATGCTGGCCTCATGGTGAACCAATTGCCAGGATGTCAGGGGAGCGATTTGACAAACAGGGCAGAGAGAAACGCAGCAGACATTCACAGGAAATTGTATGAGTTGCCCGAGGAGACCTGAAAGCCACAAACATCATCAGAGCCGCAGGACAGAAACAGGGCCTGGTGGTTCTCAAGCGGGCAATAGCCTGATCCCGTCATAATCCAAGAGCTGGAGCTCAGCCCATGGTCGGCCTGTCTCTCTAGTGACTCCAGAAGCCCGTGCTCGGAAAGGACTCTAACCCACGTGGGGTGGGCTTCCTCTCTCTGATATTGATCACCCATCACCTATTCTATTTTATGTTTTCCTCGATCTCAGTTTTTCAATTTTTATTTTAAAATATTTTATCTTTACATAAAAGTAATGCTTCCCACATGTGACCAAAATGCATGACATACAGAAGGCTCTAAAATGACCCTCACTAATCTCCTCTCCCCAGAGGAGAAACTGGGGAGTTTTCCTGGAAACTTTGGGGGGAAATGGTTTCATCCATCTGTATGTGTATATGCTCAAAAACAATTTACTAGGCCCAGTGTCCTGCGTTGTTGTTTGGATTTCCCTTAATAATAGATCTTTGCACATTGGTCTAGTCCATCCAAGCACCATTTTCCTGGGTTATTGGAATATCCTCCTAGCTGATTTTCCTGCTTCCACCCTAACCCTTTATAGTTCATTCCAGAGGGATTCTGCTGAAAGGTAAATCAGATCATGTCCCTATTTGTTCAAAACGGTCCGTTGCCTTTTACTTGTTCTAAGAACAAAAGCTAAGCTTGCTTCCTCCACCTGCTTCCCTAATTCCACCTGCTATGAACTCCTTGCTCACTGTGTTCCAGTCATAATACTCATCTAGGCCAAATACAGTCCTGCCTCAGGACCTTTGCATCTGCTATTCCCTCTACCTAAAGTGTACACATTTATTTTCTGCCCCTCTTTGCACGGCCAGCTATAGCTTATCATTCTTATTTCATTTCAGATTGCATCTTCCCTGGCCACTGGCTCTAAATCAGCCCCCATCACTGTCCTTCATATCCCCCTGCTTTCTTTTCCTTCATAGACCATACTGCCATCGGAACATTGTCATCTTCAGTTATTTGTTTACTTGTTTGTTTCCTGCTTCCCCTACCACACCCATTGGAATGTCAACTCCATGAGGAAAGCAGGGATTTCATCTGTCTTTTCACCATTACATCCCTAGATGTCTCTAGACCAGTGGTTCTCAAACATGGATGTGCATCAGAATCGCCTGGAGGGTTTATTAAGGCACAGATTGCTGGGCCCTGACTCCAAAGCTTCTAATTCAGGAGGTCTGGGGTGGACCTGGAAATTTGCACATCTAACAAGTACCCAGGTGATGGTGAAACTGCTGGTCCGGGGACCACACTTTGAGAAGCCCAGTCTAGACCATGCTGGCATGCATTGGGTGTTACATATATATTTAGTACATGAATATATGAGTCTACACACACACACACACACACACACACACACATACACACACAAGGGTCTGCCACCTTCTTTGTCATGGCAGTTTCATTTCCACTTGATCATTCATTTATATTGAGGACCATGAGCATCCTCAAATTCTTTGTGACAGAAGGCCCCAAGTTTTGTCAGCTAAAATGATTTAGCTCCACTGATCTGTCAGCAGATGAATAAAAATGTCAAGTTTTCTAGGCCCAGGGAGAGCCTGTGAGAGTTACTTCTTGTTCTCTGCCTCAGTAAGCCGTCAAACCAAAAGGTGGTACAACTCTCACTAGACATGTGACAGAGAACTTTCCCCAGAAGTAATTGCTCAGGCCTCCCCTGTAATTGTTTAATAATTGTCCTCTTGGCTTGGATTCAGCCTCATGCGCTGGAATATACATGCACAGTCCACCTGGACCCCAGGTTATGAAATGTAGAGTTCAGTGGTTTTTTTCTGTGAGTCAAAAAACCCCTGAGAATGTGACAAGATCTATAACCCTTTCCCCCCCCAAAATGAACAGACACACATACACACACACACACTCACATTTTTTTTATATTCCTGGAAGTTACAAGATACCCCAAGTCCATCGTAACCCCAAATTTAAAACTCCTGATTTAGTAACTGGCTATCTGTTTGGCAAAACAAACAAAAACAACCTGGATCCTCAGTTGAGTATTTAAATGTAAGAAGACAAACCTTAGAGGAAAACATTAGTTAAGTTCTATAAGATTTATAATCTTAGAACGGAGAACGCTTTTTGAAGCCTGACTTGAAACCCAGAAATGAAAACAGAATAGTGAGATCGACTCCATAAAATTGTAAATAATCCACACGGGAAAGAGGCCGTCAGAACTCCTCCTCGTGTAGTCTCTGTGGAGAAATCAAAGGATCCAGTCTTTTCCATCTGTATCCCTGCCCCTCGGATTGTCTTGGCCGAGCTCTGCAGGAGAAGACCCGAGCTGATCAGAGCTCACGGGTGAGACCACATCCTTCAGGAAAGCTCTGTCACTGGGTTCATTATTTAATTAACCATGGTTTGGGTTTTGAAACAAGTTTGAGATAGAATTCACATACCATACAGTTCACCCATTTAAAGTAAACAGTCAGATGGTCTCAGTGTATTCACATGATTGTGCAACCATCATCACTAATTTTAGAACATTTTTGTCATCCTGTAGAAGCAACCCCGTACACAGTAGCAATCACTCCCCATCCCCCCACCTCCCGCCAGGCCTAGGCAAACGCTCGTCTGCTTTCTGTCTGAAATGGCGTCATACAGTATGGGCTTTTTTCCCTTAAAAAATATAATGTCTTCGAGGTTCCTTGGTGTTATAGTGGAACTTCATTCCTAGTTCTTGCTGAGTAATATCTCATTGTCCGGAGATGCCACATCTTATGTACCCATTCTCCGGCTTGTGGTCGTGTGGCTTGTTTCCCTGTTTGGGCTATGATGAATGATGCTGCCATGAACGTTTGTGTACAGATCTGTGTGGTTTTTGTGCGAACGTATAGTTTCATTTCTGTTGGGTCTAACAGTGCTTTTTCTCTTAAAGACTTAGCCAAAGAATTTTACTTAGCCTATATGATTCTTTTGTCTTTAACTGTTTTCTACAATAAACTTGAGAAGTGAGTAGGCTTGGACCCTGAGACCTCAGAGCTCTGCTAGCCCCAGTCTGGACCCTGTGTAACCTCCGTGTAACCTGGGACTGGGCTCAGTCTCACCGTACCTCAGTTGTGAGAACACTCTCGCTCCGACCCTCCCACGGGACCTTGGGATGATTAATGAAATTAGTCAAGGAGGCTCTGCTCTTGAGAAGATGCTAACCCGTATGAATAGGTCGGTGTGCGTCAAGGAAACCACATACCCTCAAAGCCAGCACCTCACGGGCCCCACAGGTGACAGCATCAGACAAGAGGCCAGTGGCTGGATGCTCGAGGCGCAGGCAGTACAAAAAATACTTACCATTTTCTCAAGATTTTGGATTCCTTTGAGATCAGGATTTGGTTGCTTTCCAAATCCTGCAAGCTACCCTCTGAAGGTAGAAATGTCAGGGCCATCTACGTAATGATGGGCAGCCAGAAGGGCAGGCTTAAATTCTAAAGCCCACTTGCCAGCTCACATTTCCTGAACGACTGCTCTACCTTCATTTAATAGAAAAAGTACCTCACTCTCTACAGAGCCCCAGAGGTATCTTGTTTGGGGAAATCCATGTGCCCCTGACTTTCTTTTTGGCTTTGGGATAGGTGAGTATCTCCTCAGCCCTGAGTACAGTCTAATAAGGACCCCCCTACGGAGGCACTGGGAGCCCCACTGGCAGAGGATGGGTCCAAAATATCCAAGCTGACTCATGCCCTTTGGCCAGTCACTGGTGTTCCTTGGTCTTTAAAATCAATCAGCCAGAAGCTCCCCTGATAAGCATGTCAGTGACAAGTTTAATAGGAAATGAGATGGCAGGCGTGCCTGGGTTCCAACTCCCATGTCACCGCTTACTAGCTGTATGATATGGGACAAGTAGCTCAGTTCTCTGAGACTCAGTTTCCCCATATGTTAAATGGGGATAATGACAATACTTGTAGGATCATGGGGAGAGTTTCCTGAGATGATGCCCATGAAGGCAACACACAGTTCAAGCTCAATCTATGTCTGCTATAGTTATCATATTACTTTTAAAATAAAAATATAGGATTTCAAGTCACCAAGCCATCCTCTCTCAGGTATTTGGGGATGCTGGATTTCTATTGGTCACTTAATTGGTACTTGCTAGGTATCAGACACCACAGAGAGAGCTAGAGATGAAATCTAATTCCCCCCCACCGCCCCGGAATGTAAAATTCAAGCTAGGAGAGAAAGTAAGGTACAGTAAGCCTTACTAGTGACTGTCACTGCTGTCCAGATTCAGGGTGGGAGACAGCAGAAAGCCTGGATGGGCCTGGGCAGGCCTCAGAGGGGAGGCAGACCTGAGGCTGGCCCTTGAAAGGCAAGATGGGTTCACATCAGTGGAGCAGAGGGAGACCCAAGTGGGCAGGGGTGGGTGAGGGGGAAGGGGAGATCCGTGTGCACACAGGCAGGTTGGGGGCCTGGGTGGGTCTCGGTGTGGTGAATTGTCCAGGGACTGAGCCAGAGACAAGCCTTCTGGTGGCTTTTCCATGGTCTGGGGTCTCTAGGAATGAGATGCCATGGGGTCTTTAGTCACTTCTAATAATTATCCTTATTATGAGACTTGCTGTCACTAATTTTGTGGACTGTAAGAGAGAGGAGGAGGAGTTATGTTGGAGGAACTTGAACTCTTAATCCAGACCATCACAAAAAGAGCAACATGGAGTGGCCCGCGTTGACCGTGGCTGCCCTGTATCCAGCCCCCTCTCCTAGGACTAGCACCCTGGTTATCTCTGGGGACCCAGCCCTTCATTGTGTTCAGTCCATGTGGTTTTGGGTGGGGATGACTACACCCCCGTGGCAGGGATGGGCACGGTGCCCACATTGGTTCAGAAAGATGTGACTCTGAGACTCTAGACTCTTGGGAATGGGAAGTGGCTGTTCTTCTAGGGTGGCTGGGCCAGGAGGGTGTCAGCTTGGCGCCCCTGGTTGCCATTTCACCACTGCCGTCGGCGAGTCTTCCTGGGATAGAATGACTGGGGTTCTGAGGGCTGCAGAGCCGAGAAGTGGAGTCAGGATGCCATCATCTGGGCGCCTGGATCCCGCCATACCAAAGCCTTTTCGCTTACATGAGGAAACAGATTTCCTCGTTTCGGCCCAAGTCTCTTCAAACTGGGTTCCAGTCTACTGTCACTAAAAGCATCCTGATTCATTGGAGTAGTTACCTTGCTCCCACCTACATTTCGTCGACTTCTTCTTAGCATAGATATTTGTGGTCCATAGTCAAGGCGGGGTCTGTAACAGGGTTAGTGTTAGGCATGTGCAAGTGATGGTGACATCTGCACACACCCCCGTACGGGCACAGGTACCCGTCATGTGCTTGGGAGGGGAAACCAAGACTCTGCGAAATTTGTCTTCTCTGTCCTGTGACTCTGCCTACAGACCAATTCTCCCCAAACCCTCCATTTTATTCCTCTTGTTCTTAGCCGAAGAAACGAGGATCTGTTAAGTATATTTTGCAGGGTTCTAAGAAGCCAGGATGAGGTGTGGAAGGTGTGAGGGGAGAGGAAGCTCTCTGCACATCCCGTATGTGTTTTTTCCCTTTTGCCCAATAATAAGGAATGAGCTGACATCCTTTTATTTCCTATGTCATGCAGGACTTTTTAAAACTAAGCATTAATTCTACTGTAATGGGATTTGTCTAATGATTTCTTGGAAAACATCTTCTTGGATCTCAGCAAAGATAATTCACTTGGTGGGAATCATTTCCTGCTTCCCCGCTAAGAACTAGACCTAGCCAGTTCTTTCTGGGAGCAAATTGGCCTTAAATGAGAGAAGAGAGTACAGGTATTTGAAGCTAGCATCCTTCACGGAGACTGCAGCCTGCCATGGTCCCAGATCAGGGAGAAGAGGCAGAAGCAGGGCAGGGGAGAGCATTCGTGCTGGACAGGAGCATGAAGCCAAGCATAACATCTGCAGTACTGAGCCCCTCCGGGAAAGGGATGCACTCACCTCTTGGCTTTGGCTCTGAGGCACTTTCTTTACGGGGTGGGGGTCGCGGGCGGGGCCTCAGCAGCCTACGGAGTCCACACTGAGCTAGCCGGAGCTAGCAGGCAGGCCGCTGCGGGCGGGAGTTCCCATTCTCCATCAGAAGGGAGTGTCCTTCCCCAAAAGGAGGCGAGGCCCTTATTCCCCTGGAGTCAGGCTGTTGGTTCGGCTTGCTCGCTCATCCTCCCTTTCCTGCTCCCTCTCCGGTGTGAATGGAGCTCAAGGGAGTCCTAAGAGGAGGGCTGAGTGCCAAGCACACACCACACCCACCCTGATACAGGTTGTTTACCCAGCCCCGAGAGCCTAAAGACAGAGGCAGCCAAGTATGCTGGGAGGCCACCCCCTCCGGGCCTCCAGCAGTGCGGCGGATGCTGGTGTACCCACAGAAAGCCCAAGGACAAGCACTTGTGTATTTATTTCTCCCCTCTCATGTGATCTTATTTTTGGACGGGACACAAAAGCTATTTGGAGGCTGGAGAGCTGCCAGGTGAAAGCACCGGTATCTTATGCAAGTTGTCTCCATGCCTCTCGCTGAACCAGTCCCTGTTCCCTTTCCCTGTATAAGGCGGAACTCTGGGGGCCTTGCTCTGGACCTGACTTTTCATATATCCCAGCAATTAGTCATTACTAATTTTAGGTCAGCTAGTTCCATCCCCCCCCCCCATGAGGTTTCACAGAGGATACATATAATGAGCAATGCCATTACTTCTCTGTCTGAGGCCCGTGGACCTGTCATACGGTCAACATAGATATGGCCATCACATACACACCATCTTAGACAGCGAGACCCTCTTCTCAACACCGGCTGGGACCTTCAGGCCTGGGAGGCGGTCAGGAGCAAAGTGCAGGAACAGAGCCAGCCTGTAGCATTGAAGCGCCCTCATTCCCCACTCCCCTAATCCTGCTGTTTCTGCTTCTAACTCCTAGGCTTATGAAACTTAAAACCTTTTAATGTCTTGGTTTTTCACCTCCGATTTTTCCTCTTCAGACATGAATGGAAAGTTCTGAAACACTCATGCCTGACAAATGCTGTATCATCATCTTCACCATCACCACTGTTAACTTATTAAGCTCTTGCTACATGCCATTCCTATGCCGAGCCCTCTCCCTGCGCTGGCTCATCTCTCCTGCCGGCAGCCCTTTGTGAAAGGGACTGTGGTTCCGATGCGACAGGCCGAGAAGCAGGGGCTGGGAAAGGTGGGCTTGCCGAGGAGAGATCTGAGCCCTCCTCATCTGTCTGATTCCAGAGCCGGAGTGTTTGGCCCCTTTGCTTACTGTCTGCTGAACTATAAATTACTGAGATTTCACTCTTGTTTTCATTTCCTAAGAGGAAAATAAAAAATCCTCACAGTTGATTTAGACGCATGACTTCACTCTTCAATTTCTTTCCTAAACCCAGTTCTTGAAGCAGAGAGAGAAAGAGATTTTCATCTGTTTACAGTCCCAGACCCTGATTCTAGATACAGGAGGGAGAATCTCTAGCCTCCATTCTCCTGGGAACCGGTCTCCTATGGCTAATTCACAGTGTGAACACATGCACACCAGACAGGACTGGGCCAGGCCGCCCCCGCCCGGGCTCCCCACTGCGTCTAGGTGGACTTGGCCTTTTCTCTCCGGAAAAGGAGAGTGCCAGTGACAGAGTCCATCAGCTTGTCCAACACTGACCCCTTCGGGCCACTACGCTGCATTACTCCCAGGATGGTGGTCAAAACTTCAGAAGGGGCAAGGATTATTTTTAGAGAATTGGCTTCCATATTCTCAGTTTCTCTAGGCACCGTTTCCTAAACTGATTTGCCTGAGAAAGTGTCTGTGTTGGTAATAATCCCTCCCCTACTGGAAAGCATACCCCTCACTCCACAAATCTTACTAAGGGGCAGTTGCTCCAAATATAAGTATCTCCAGGTCCAGGTTCTCCAAACTGGAAACTTCCTTTACTAGTTTAATTCAGCTTCCTTTCATGATTAATTAAGGCATTTTTTTTTTGTATTTAACAAAACTCATTTCTTCTATTCCTTGATTTTGAAAGAAAGCACTGTGAAGGCAAATCATAGGGAATATTAGAAATAATAAGAGATTAAGAGGTATATTTAAAGAATGGTGGCACAGCTTAATTTTTCATTCCCAATATTTACATTATGCTGGAAGTTATTATCTTGAAGCCAAATGAACCTAATGATGAACATGTAACATATCAACTTTAAAATGTAGGTATAGGTAACAGTTTTTCAGAATTGTTTCAGAATTGTTTCAGAAGACACAGGAACACAGAAGGTTGAAGATCATTGTACCCTGAGCTGGCCATGGCTAACTGATAACAAATTGTTGTCCGTCCATCCAACAGAATTGAGCACCTACTGTATGTCAGGCATTGTTTCCAGCACTAGATGGAAACATCATGAGCAAAAACTGACGTGTTACATGCCAGATTCTTACTTGTGGCTACCTCTGGGGAGCTGAGTGAGGCAAAGAGCTTAATTTAATAATTACTCAAATAACCCTAAAATTCAACTTTGGTAAGTACTACTAAGGAGGGGCATTTGGTGAGTAGAGAATGTAGAATGGAGACTGACAAAAAAAAAATAATGAGGATGGACCCATTTCCTGAAGGAAATGGCAGGGAAGGTGGCCCTAGGGAAATGACGTCTGAACCAAGAACAACGTAGACTCTCTATGAAAGGACTCTGAGAACCCAAGAAGAAGGGCCCTGGTAGTATGGCAGCATTGGAAGGAGGGTCAACCTCTGTAGAGTAGGTTGTTTTGAGAAAGGGCCTTTGCCTTTACACAAGTACAACCCATGTTATAAATCCGTGGTCCTCAACTGGGAGTGATTTATTTCCCAGGGGACACTTGGCAATTTCTGCAGACAGAGTTGGTTGCTGCAACCGGGGTCGTGCTAGTGGCATCTAGAGGGTAGAGACCAGGATTGCTGCTAAACATTCTACAATATATAGGACAGCCCCCACAACAAAATGTAGCCTCCAAAGTCAGTAGTGCTGAGGTTGAGAAATTCTGTTATAGATGAGGGCAGGGCAGGCCCGACACACGTCTGCAGTGGATGTGGATTCATTTGTTCGTTCATTCAACAAATACTTAGTGAGTGCTCGCTATGCTCGAGACCCTACTCTGGGTATATCTGAGGCATACCCTTAACCAAAATTGTCACCTCAAATGGCCAGCCTGGTTGTGCTCCTGTGACCCAGCCTAAAATTGTCACCATTCAAATAGTGGCAAAATTGGTCTTCACTGTCTGTAGAAAGAAGAGATAACAAGGTATGGACATTATTAGCAAGATGGTCCCCGAGGCATTGTAACAGTGGAAACAACCTAAATATCTGTCAGTAGGGGAATAGTTATGTAATTCTAGCACAGCCATATATTAGCGATTCAATCAAAAGGAAAGAAACAAAAGATGACACAGAAAATAACCATGAAGATATTATTGACTGGGAAAAAATTTTGGAATAGCAGGTAGAGTATGACTGATGGGATTTATGTTTTTAAATTGGTTTATGTGTGTGTTTGCATGTGCATGCCAGGACTGGAGAAATTGTCACCAAATTCTAATAATGGCTATCTCTAGGAAGTGGAAAAATAACCCTGGAACATGTTCACTGAGAATAGCCCTCTACCTGATTTCCTCCTTTCACATCAGTTAGATTCTCTCTAGTTTATCATCTCCATTACTAGCAATATTCAACCCGTCACCAACTTGCGGAGATCCTTCAACTTCCAGGACAGTATCTATTCCTTATTGTTAAATCCAAAGCCCTTCCAAACTTGCTTCCAACCAGTCTACTTAGGGCTCTTCATGGGAGCTGCTCTCCCTTACCAGCCTGGTTCCCACCCCCACCTCCCTGGAGCTTCAGCCATAGTGGATTCCTGGGAATTCATCAGGCCATACTCTTTCAAGATAGGCTTCACCTCTGTGCCTGAAAAACGGTCCTCCATTTTTTATACCTGTATTAGTCAGGATAGACTAGGTTATACTGTGGTTATAATTAATCCCCAAATGTCAGTGACTTAAAATAACAAAGGTTTATTTCTCATTAATGAACATCAACTTGTCCCTTTTCAGGTTGGCTGGGGAACTCTGCTCCATATCATCCTTAATCAAGGACCCAGAGCTCAAGGAGGCCAAGGAACTCCGGAACTCTGCTGTCAGGAAGGAAAAAGGAGATACCTTGGGCGCCTAGGTGGCTCAGTCGTTAAGCGTCTGCCTTCGGCTCAGGTCATGATCCCGGGGTCCTGGGATTGAGCCCCGCATCAGGCTCCCTGCTCGGTGGGAAGCCTGCTTCTCCCTCTCCCACTCCCCCTGCTTGTGTTCCCTCTTTCTCGCTGTGTCTCTCTCTGTCAAATAAATAAAATATTAAAAAAAAAAAAAAAAGAAAAAGGAGATACCTTTACTAATACACTAGCACCTAGAAAGTACTTCTGTTCACATTTCATTGACCAAAACAAGTCCTATGGCCACACCTAACATAAAATGAAACAGAGAGTTTCAATCCTATTATTTTCTTGGAAGGTAGAGAGTCATAAATATTTGAGGAACCCGAATTCTGTAATTGTTGTGTGCAATATTCTATCTGTGTCCATTAAGTCATTTGCTAATTATGTGCAAATAATCTGTATCCTTATTCATTTATCTGCTCACTTCATCCTGTGGTTTTATCAATCTTAGCTTCATATTTAAAAAAAATTATGTATTTGGGAGAGAGAGAGAGCAAGCAGGGGAGAGGGGTAGAGTGAGAGGGAGAGAGAGAATCTCACGCAGACTCCCTGCTCAGCACAGAGCCCAATGCAGGGCTCGATCCCATGACCCTGAGGTCATGACCTGCACCAAAATCAAGAGTCAGACGCTTAACTGATTGAGCCACCCAGGGGCTCCTTGGCTTCATAATTTTAAAGCTACATTATAAGATGCATACAAGTTTTATAATCACTGTGTCTTCCTTGTGAATTGAATTTTTTATTATTATGATGTATCTTTTTTTTAGCTGTAGTAATGATCTTTGTCTTAAAATATAATTTGATATTAACATATACTATTAATACTAATATAATCTTGGTTAATATTTACATATTTTCCACCC